GAAGACAGCGATCGAAAATGGCTTCCCCTATGGAGGATCTTCGCTGGACGATGAGGTAATTCGCTCATTGGAACACATTGAACTGGTTTTCAATGCATTTCAGTGGGTTTTTTCTTTCTTTTGACGACATCGCTTAACAGCGATTTTAACATCGCTTAACAACGATTTTAAAAGAACAGATTAACGTCGTCAAGCGGGGCACCACTGTACAATAAAATCCTGCACCTCTCCATTGTTTTCCATGTGGCAAGCTGTCCCACTACAAAATATGCCATTCAGTATTTAGGGCCAGCTCTACTATTAGGCAGAGTGAGAGGACTGCCTTGGGCAGATTATTCTGGGCCATGCAAGAGCACCACCCTGTTGTTACTGTTACGGTTTCACTTCCAGGAAAGTTTAAAGGTGCTTGTAAGATGTGCCAAAGCAACTTGGCCGGCTTTAGGTAGATAAAACCTTTAGTCAAAAAGGAAAGTTTCTACCACACCTCAGAGAGCAAAACACTTGGGCAAGACAAGTTTAATATCGGTTTAGAAACTCAATCATCCCATAATGTTCAATTAATGCAAGTCGATGTTTCTGCATGCCTTTCAAGACATAAGAGAATGCCAGCCTTTCCCCAGCAGCTGTCGAAGCTGGTGCTAGGCTTACAATTATTAAGCCAGTTTCTTTGAACCGGTTTCTCCCATCTGATTTAGAGATTCAGATCTGATTTGTATTCTGTTCTGATGAACAAGAAAAAACAAACCCTCTCTCTTGCACCAGTTTCCATTAGGAACAGAGGATGCTGCCACCTAAGCCCTGCTTCGCTTTCTTCTCTTGGACGGGTTATTTCATCCTGGGCATGAAGCGGACCCGGGTATCTCACTGGGGTCAGGCAGCCATAAGACAAAATGGGCAGAGCATTTGAGAGACCAGCCACTAGTCACAAGTGGACAGAGCAGCTCCATAATGGAGAGCCTGGAATTCATGCTGGAGAGATGGGCAGAGCCAAGGGACGTTTCTAGGGTTCGCATCCAGCGGTTTTCGGAGAAAAGGAGGAGCTGGTCCTGGATTCCACTCGCCACCCCAATTTCTACTCCCCGCAAAACACGTCTAAGAAGACATGCATCTGTGGAAGAGGGAAAACACATTCTGCCATTGAAAAGGCAGGGAACATCTCCCTCCTTCCAGGGCTGGGGGCCAGAATCGCCCTCAACAAGGAGAGAAAGAACAGGCCTGCAGTTGAGAAGGACTCTCGCTACCTTGCCAGAATAGCTGCCTGAGAAGCTTTTTTTAAAAAAAAAAGCTTGGTGCTCCTGGCTTCCGCCCTGTTCCCCCCCCCCCCACAATAAATCACCTGGCAGGGCCTGGGAAAACAGATCCTCCACTGCACAAACACAAGGCCAGGATGGGAAGAGAGAGAGAGAGAGACTGAAAAATTTCCACTTTGGTTGTGAGTTTTGGAAGTCTAGGCAGTTACCCTGCAGGGGCTGTGTCCCTGGAGTCTTTGGGCCGCCTCACCTCTGCAAAAAAACACCAACGCTGGCACCTTAGCTAACCCTGGTTCCTCAGGAGAAGGAGTGTGCCTTAGGGGAAGTTCTCTTGGGCAATTATTAGGAAAACAGGGCAAGAACGGGACGAGGGATGTGCCCGGCATCACAGACACACTCATGCGATAGACGATGGGCTGCAACAAGCAAGGACTGAGTCATATCAGATATGGAATAGGAGTCAGGTGAACACCTAGGAACCCTGACTGGTTGTTCTCAAATCCTTCCCATACGTTTAAGCCCATCACATGGACCCAGCACTTGGAAGTAACTAATAAAAAAATATCAGCTCGCTCTGACCACTATCGTGTTTACCATGGGTGGAGCACAACACTTTACCTCTGGAGAGCCCACAGTCACTGGCTCGCTGTTATGTAAGCTGGAGATCATTCAATTTGTTTCCAATGGGGTTTGCGCAAGTTAGCACTGGAAAACCTTTTATGCAGGCTCTAGGGAAAACCCACGGCTGACACAAGAATGTTGCACGGGTGGAACAGGACAACTGGCTTCTGTCATTAGTCCTGTTTCTCAATGCTTAGGGTAGAACTGCATTACAACTACAGTGGTGCCTCGCAAGACGGAAGTAATTCGTTCCGCGAGTAGTGCTGTCTTGCAAAATTTTTGTCTTGCGAAAAGCAGTTTCCTATAGGAATACATTGCAACAAATTCCTATGGGAACCTTGCAAGACAAATGAATTATTTTCATCTTGCAAGGCATCCGTCTTGCAAAAAAAAAAATCATCTTGCAAAGCACGGCCATAGAAGAAGCCGTCTTGCAAGGCACCACAGCAATCGCAAAAACCATTCGTCTTGCGGGTTTTTCGTCCCGCAAGGCGTTCATCCCATGAGGCACCATTGTATAACTTCATGAGATCAGAACCCCCTCATTTTGCAATGTAACTCTTTAGACACTCTTATAGTTCTCAGAGTGTGATCTCACTAAATAGTGGAGGAGGAATGTTACATGGTTCAAGGGCTGGCTTGTGCTGTTGTGTTTTTTCTTTACTGCTAAGACAGGGGAATAGAGGAAAATTCATTAGGTTGTAGTGTTCAGCTGCTTGTTTTTAAAGCAACTATTTGTGACTTCTGAGAAATCAGAAAAGTGATACTTGTTGAAAGCTGAGGTTTGAAACAGGAACTAGCTCCTTCTGATAGGCTTGGAACAGTAACACTAATTGCTTTCTAAAAACAACATTCTAAGCTCTACACTTAGGACTTAGAACACCTCCCACACAACATCAATGTGCTGTACACACCAAGTGCCACACCACACAGTGATATTTAGAGAGGAAAAAGGGGTAAACAACCCCCACTATTTCAGACCCTGTGGATTCCTCAGAAATTAAAGCAGATAAATTATGTCAAAAGGGCACCGCCTTGGGCCAAAAAATCAGGAGCCACTCCCTGACCTCTGCTAATAATGGTCTAATGCTTTACCTGCAAGGTGCCTCTAAGGGCCACATTCCTGCAACTTGCTTTTGCATATAATTGACGAGGGTGCTTTCAAACTCTACTAATAAGTATTGGCCAGGAGGTGCGGTCCCACACATTCTAGAGCAGTGGTTCTTAACCTTTGTTACTCGGATGCTTTTGAACTGCAACTCCCAGAAACCCCAGTCAGGACAGCTGGTGGTGAAGGCTTCTGGGAGTTGGAGTCCAAAACTCCTGAGTAACCCAAGGTCAAGAACTAGTGGTCTAGAGTTCCTGGGCCAAAGGAACTGAAAAACAAGCACCATTCCAAAGCAGAAGACTGGAGGTTCAAATCACATTAAAAATACCTTTAGGCAGAGTTTTGAAAAGCGCCCTTTCCCAGAATCCCTCAGTCAGCATTGTCAAGGGTCCCCTTGACTCAGAAGAGTTTCTGCAAACTCCAGTCTCAAAAGGTTAACTTTCACAAATTCTGGCTTTTAAAGAAGTCCTCCTTTCTATTTGAAAGATGTGCTATCACAACAAGCTTCTGTAAAAGAATGAGCTTCAAACGGACTACATGACCTGTGTGGGCAGACCGGGCACTGTGGATCACGCAGCCTTAAGGAGAAGCTTTTATCCTTGTCTCCCACAGCTTAAAATACTTTTCATCACAGATAATCATAAGAACCATCACGTGACAGAAGGTACAAGGGTGCACCAGTACAGGCCATGAAGCAACCAACTCAGGATTAACCTACATGCACAGATATATGGCAAGTAAGGAGTTACCGTAGCTCTTCTGCTGTGCTTTACGGCTGCCATACAATGCTTGAGAAGAAGGAAGATCCCCTCCACCCCAGCACTCCCCTTTGGCTCACTGCAGAAGGGCCATTAAGCGGAAGGCAACTCGCCTTGGGCCTGCTGGTTCTCCTTTGGTCTGGTTTGAAATTCAACTTGCCACCATGCTGCCTAAGCCAGTGCCACAGGGAGCAACTGTGTTTCTGGTAGATCCATGTAGACCAATAAGGTTTTTGAACATCTAGAGTGTCCCTTCATTCTTTTGTGTGTGCGCGCGTGCATGCGTGTAAGAATTCTGTCACTTCTAGCAAGGTAGCGGTTTATGTTTTTCTACTCCATCCAGCCCCTTCCCATTTCCCCATTGAAATCCCTCATCCTTTGCTCTCTCTCTCCCTGCCCACCCACACTTCCAAAGCTTTTCCCAGGCTCTTTTTTCACTTTATCACCACAAGCCCCCACCCGTCACATGCTGTTCTTTTACAGCTTTTGGAGTGCATACCTCTCTGGGTTTTCAAATGGACTTAAGGAGCCAGTCCCATCACTCCCCTTTGGACGCCCCTTTGGCACAGCGTGAGACACTGGACACAATAGCAGCTTTTTGCCTCGTCCCTAGTCGACCTCCAGAAGGCAAAGTCAGGCACCAAAGGACCAAGATCAGAGCCTCTTCTATAACCAAGGCAACACCCAGATATTAAGCTATGACATGTAAACACAGACAGAGTGCCCAGGCTGGGGCAGAGGCAAGGAGGAGCACAGAAACTTTTAACCTCAAGAGACAGTCAACACGGATGGCTCCGAGTCCAGCCCCACTGTTCATTCAGCCAAACAAGAGCACTGAGAGCTACACAATAGAAGACCCAAGGGAGAAAAAGAAGCTGGGCTCCATCATCCTTCTTTTCTTTCATCCCACTCCACATAACAGTGAAAGAAGCCGTTGCTGCTGCTTCAGGATACAGGGATGGCTGCTGACTTGGGTGGGTTTTAAAGGGCATTAAGATCAACAGATGGAGGGTCAGGCTATCTACGGCTACTGGTCAGGACAAAACCTGTGTTCTCTTCTCCAGAGGCCCCAGTGTGACTGTTGCTGGGATACATGTTGCTGGGAAGTTCCAGTTGGACGAGGAAGCCCCTGCCACACTTCTGTTCTGCTTGTGGACTTCCCAGGGGCCCCAATCTCACCACAAGAGGAACGCTGGCCTGGCCTTTGGACTGGTGCCACAGGATGCTCCCTGTGTTCTTATTTCACTCAGAGAATACACCAAATACATTGTTCCAGAGATTTAATGTGAAGCTTTTTACAGACATCTTGTTTATAATATATATATGTATATAAAAAAACCACACATCACCAACCCCGCCCCCCCTAAAACAAAATGGAGGAGTATGGACCCAGGGCCGGAACTTTCCCTTATCACCCCAGCAAAAAACAAGAGGAGCCCATCAATGCACTGGGAGGTGCCCCACTCATGTCCATGTTCCAACGTTAGAGAGAACAAAGAGATACTCAAGATTCTAGGGGAGCAGGCACTAGTCCTGAAAGATGAGGGGCAGGACTAAGAGCACGTACTGAAATAGCCAGTACCCCCCTCACCGCAACACAGAAGTGTTTCTGGCCCTGGTGAAATCCAGCCCCACCTGCCTCTCCAGAAGGGAAAGCTTCATTTTACCTGTGGGGGAGGGGGAATTATCTGGGATGCAGAGACAAGGGAGTAGCATCATTCCAGAAAGCTCACAGTCACCTCTTATCCAGGGAAAAAAAAAACAGTGGACGGAAAGAGAGAGAGAAGACGGGGACAAGTCAGAGAGCATTAAACGTCCACTCAAAAGCAATAGCATCAAGGTCATTGTGAAAGAGGGTTGGGAGCAGAGCCTGCAAAAGTGACTCCTGAGGGCTACAACTCCCAGCATGGCCACTAGCCATGTTGGCTCGGGGAATTCTGAGAATTGTAGCCCAAAACAATAAGGTGAATACATCTGGAGCGAGGGAGCAAAATGGAAGGCGAGATGTGTGTGTGTACCAACCAAATCTGTGTCCAGAATGAGGGAGGAAGGCGATCCATTTGGTCCTGCCCCCCACCTACAAAAGATGAATGTATAGCAACCAGGGAACGGGGCAGAGACCCACAGGAGATGCAGAACTGGAAATCATTCTTCCTTCTTGTCCTTTGGGCCCTCATGCGATGCCTGGTAAGAATACAAGGGGAAAAGATGGTGTGAGAACAAGACCTTAAGAAGAGGGCTGCATTTATTCCATGCTGGAAAACCCACACTTGTATGTGTGACGGTACCAGACCTACTGGAGTATGCCACAAACGGGGCAGAGACCCACAGGAGATGCAGAACTGGAAATCATTCTTCCTTCTTGTCCTTTGGGCCCTCATGCGATGCCTGGTAAGAATACAAGGGGAAAAGATGGTGTGAGAACAAGACCTTAAGAAGAGGGCTGCATTTATTCCATGCTGGAAAACCCACACTTGTATTACTAAAGGTAAATTCTACAAATTTGTACTGTTGATACTGCTAGGAATGGAGAGAGGCCGGTTGCTGTATGAGATGTATCCCATCTCAAGCCACAGGGAATCTTACTCAAGCACCTAACTCACTTCTCAGATTACAAGAAGCATGCTCTCCACTCACTCCCAGTTCCGGCACATAGGCCCTGAGGACTAGAAACTCAAGCAAAACATTTCAGGAAAATGAATTCCACAGCCATCACTGCCGCTGAGTTGTTGTTGCTGCTGCTGCTGCACTCTTGCAGAATCAAGGCCTAGATATACTGTGTCCTGCTTAAATTGCCAACAGATAGCAAACTAAAGTACAAACTAAATATAAGCCCATTGTCACTACAGGCAAATAATGGCCTAGTCACAGGACTCTCCACGCTCAAATATCTAAAACAGACTGACTCCCTGTTGGTTAGTGACGTAAGCTTATCCATTCAAGCTATTGTCCTTTGTATTCTGCAAGGTCATGAGCTGTTCATTCTTCAGCACACATTTGTTAGTCTCCAACACATATATGCCTAATGCTGGTCGGTGTGTACCTATCACACACAAGAGGCCTTGTGGAGTATTCCCACCAGTATTCTCATTGGAATATGATACGCTCCATCCAGTTAGGAATGTTCAACATTTAATAAGAGCAGACTACAGTTCTGCTGGAGCACAGAACATGATCTTTAGTTTCTTGACAACCAGCTTCTTTGAAAGACAAGTTTATAGTCCTTATGGTTTCAAAGTACATATACCTGGAAGTACATGCTCAAAGCCTGCTGAAATCTTAACAAACTAACCAGGGTACCTGGGATAGGATTTCCAGTGGGTCTGTAAGTTGGTGTCCCATACAGTGTCTTGCCCTTTATCACCAACATTATGAGTTATGCAAAAACCAGGATTCATGCAGACCCTCTCAATTTTGTATGATTTATGAACACTACAAAACAAAGCTCAGGATTCAGATTCTCTCTTCTGGCCTACCTACAGCTTTCCTTAAAACAGCATGCCCACTGTCTTCAAAAGGAGAACAAACCACACTCCGTGAGAAGAGAGACCCGAGGCTGCTTTTCCCCTCTGGTAAATGAAACTGCCATCAAGAATAAATACTAGCTCAATATTTACACTTTTGAATAATAACATGTTATCCATGTCCATTTCCTGGAATGAGACTCTTGCATTAATAGGAAGGACCACTCTTTCCAGAAGTCACGTTCCAGGACGGAAACATGGAGATGGAAGGCTCCTTGTTTAAGATTATTAAGGCAAAGAACAAGCATTTCACACAGAAATAAGAGGAGCAAGCTTTGGGAAAAGAAAAAAAAAGATCTTGGGTAACTTTACCTGACACAAACTGAAGGGAAAAAACTGCAAGGCCAACTAGATGAGGCTGGGGAGGTCTCTTAATCAGAGGAAAAAATTGTTGTTTGCAGTAGCAATTCTCTGCTGCCTTTCTTCCCCTCACCCTCAAAACATTTTCTGGAGGTCTTAGGGGTGCACAAACAGCTCCGAGGGACCCTAAGCAGCCCACAGACCAGGGCACTTTGCCCACCCCTGTAATATGGGATGAAAACAAGCCTATAAAGTCCTGGCCTGCCTCAGGCCCACCTAGCAAGTTTCAGACAGAGCTAAGATTCAAAATGGGGGCTACACAGGTTATAAAAAGGTCACCCTCACTGTTAATTTGTTGCTCACAAGAACCAGCTATCCACAACCGGCAAGGCAGTTTGAGATCCACACCTGTTCAGCTTGTACCATACGAAGTCATGTGCAGTACCATAATCAAGGCAAATGCTGGCCCTTGAAGGAAATGTATTCAAGAGTCAGTGTTTGGGAGGCTCCTCTACACACACACTTACAACAGCACAATAGTACTGTGGGACTTGATAGGTAAACAGGCATGGTCAACTGTCCACTTGAAAAGGTAAGAGCTCAGACTAATTCAGGATTCACCCAGCAAACACAGCCGCTGGGGGTGGGTGGGTGCTAATTAGGGGACTGTGGAGGTTTCAGTCCTAAAAATGAACTATTCCAAGTTCTGGAAATGCTTGGATATTAGATGACAGGGAGCTCAAGAGGAAACACTATCCCCTACGAAGTGTCAAGCTGAAACCAGCAGAAACAAGTTCCGAGGTCCAGCAGTTGTCCAGGAGAGAGACAGACGGCAGCTACTGTAGAATTCTGCCTCTCTGCCAACTCTTTTGCTAGTGGAGCCCTCTGGAGCTGCACTGTGTGTGTCTGTAGTGTGTGTGTGTGTTTATTTACACAAGAGACCACCTAGCTCCATATGAGAATGTTTACTATGCAAGCTGAAGACAGCAGGCGTGAACTGACCAGAACAGCCACAGAGGAAGGGAAAAGCACCCTCGGGCCAAAAAGGCCACAACCGCTATAGCTTGTGACACTCATGGCTTATGACACTCCGACGACAGAGCTCACAGAGAAGTGTCAAAAAATAGCTGGCTTATTACCACACTCCTGACACTTCCCTGGAATGCATGCAGGAAGGGGCTCTGCTGCCTAACCAGAATGTGCCTCAGCTTTTTCTTTGGGCAGCCTTGCTGAAGGGCTGTAGCACTGTCTACACCGAAGTAGAAGAGTTATTCACAGTTTTAGGGAGGAGGAAAGCTACTCCTTCCCAGAGGCTGCCCACAAAGTCACCAGCGTAGCCATCCGAGGGACCTGTTTATAAAAGGTTGGCCAGCCAAACAACAGTAACTCGTTTCTTGGGAGTCAGACCAAACTGGATCTGGAGGGCCAGGGAAGGAGGAGGAGGAGACAGGTTGGGGGCAGACCGGTTCAGCCACAGATAAAGCCAAGACATGCTCAGCAAGGACTTGGGAGGGGGGGAATAGTGCTGAACAAGAACTAGGCAGTGAATGGTCCCAGATAGCCCCTAAGAACCCACATTCCTAGTGGTGATGCATTGAGATGTAACACCATTCAGGGGACCTGAGTCTCATTCAGTAGCTCTTGTCTTTGGGAGCAGAGATCTCAACACTGACCAGTGGTTAAAAGATGCCGACTATCCTAATCTTAAACATAAAACGAAAGTCCAGGTTCTCCATATATCGGCCTCTTCTTGCAGAGGCTCAAACAACCCAAATTTCCATCTGCTTCCAAGCAGCACAGCATCCTGCAAAGCAGGTAAACCCAAAGTTCTCACAGTTCTCTCAAACCTACCTAATCCTGCTTCCACTGGTGCGTGGAAGGGCCCAGAAAGGCAGAGATCTTCGAAGTCACTAGCCAGACAGAAGTGGAAATCCACCCTACCCACAGGGAGAGTAATAAATATGGCCGGCCCGCCCCAAGGAAGTGAGAATGGGAGAAAAGCTTCCAAGGTTTATTCCGCTTGGCCTGGCCTAGGGCCAGAAGAGATGATTTGGCTCCGAAACAATAGCTAAGTTTAACACTTCTGAAAAACCCTACACGGCTGCTCTGATTCTAGGCTGAGTTTGCAGGTCGGTTCATAGCCTAAGGAAGTCCTTGGCCTCCTCCAGTTCGTGGCTTTGTCAAGCATGCCCTTTTTGCCCTGCCAGTCTGGGGGGGGGGGGGGGAGCTCAGCCCCTACACTGCTGAGTCCGCCCAGTCCAGGCGCCTCCTCCTTGTGGCGAGCCAAGCCTCTATTGGTGCCTCCTCTGTTATCAGCTGCTCCCAGGTGAGGCACCGTCTTGTGACCTGCTGCCTACGTGCTGCCACGAACGCAGAGAGAGGCTTGCCAGGAAGGATCCTGGAGGCTGCCTGCCCTCTGACTGGTTTCTCCTCCTCCTCCTCATTGTAATGTAGCGAATAAAAGAAGAGGAATGGGGAGAATCCCCACAGCCAAAGCCACGGGTGGAGCTGCATCTTTCGTCTCAGATGCTGTGTGAGGATTAGGTTGCCCTGGCAACGGGGCCCAGATTATTTTTAAACATATATGTGTGTGTATGTGCCAGGTTTGTTGTGGGCTTGCAGTTTAACCAGCCAGCCTCTTAACCGAAGTTAAGGTGGAATTGAAGAGCCTGGGGCAGCTCATAGCTATGGGCCATGATTCAAAGCACTCCTCAGGTGTACAGAGAAGAAAAATGTGCAATCAAAGCCTCTAGGTACCTCACTTCACACTAAAGCCTTTATCTCTGACTCACGGCTGCTCGGGGAGCAGCTGAGAAGCAGGGATTCAGAAACAATGCTTGCGGGCCTGCCAGATTCTCCTATACGGACCTTTAGAATCTACATCTTCAAGAATAAGGATTTAAAAAAAACCAAAACAGAATGGCTGAAAAGGGACTCTGCTACAGTTATATTTCTGAAGGAGAAGCAAGACCAGACAAGAAAGGATTCCAGAATGTCAGGGAGGCTCCTGCTAGCCCTGAGGAGACCTGAGGACTGGGGCAGGAGAGGGTGAAGAAAGAGGGGCATGATTTCCAGGATTACAGGTTTCATAACTCTTCATTCCTGTGGAAAGCATGAATAGTTGTATTCATCCATATACTTGCAGGTAGAGCTGAAACTGAAGAGGGCTCCCAGCGGTTCGCCTCCATGCAGGGCAAATAATTCACCGAGTCATTTTGCCCAGTGAGCGGAAGCACCCTGACGTTGTCTCACAACTTGCTCCTGGGACCCAGAGGAGAAAAGGAAACCCAAGGGAGACGGTATTCCACCTCAGATGTCTAACTCAGCCCCACTTTATCGGGGCCGCCACCACAAACAGCACGGCTCTCATCTACATTCAACTTGTTCTCGCCTGTTTAATGCATGCTAGCACAGCGTAGAAAATTTACTTTTTCAAACTCTGCATTTTGATTAGTAGGAAGCAGCTGGTTTCTTTGTGTGTGGGGGGAGGCCTAGTATGAAAATGAAGGCACTTGGGGACCTACCCCACCCCACCCAAACCAGAAGGTGCAGAATAAAAACAAGAATCTCTCTCCCACTTCTCTCAAGGTTGTGGACCACACAGTCAGTCACTCTCCACGTGTGGGCTACAGAGACCAGAAACCCACATGTCACGGCTGACTCCTTCCATCACCCAAACATCTCTTCTCTGGCAGCAACTGAAACAGCAACAATCCTGAGATCCCCTAGAAGCTGACTGGCGCTTTGAGCGACTCTGGGGCAGCCACGCCCGCCCACCGTCCCCCACTCTGGAGTCACTCTCGCCTCCAAATCGACTTTTGGCCCCACCCCTTCTTCTCCCATGGCACCTGGACCTTGACGTATTCCTCCAGCAGCCTGTCGTACTCCTTGGTCAGTCCTTCAGCCTGTTTGCGCATCGCCAGTGCCTCATGGTCGGCTTTCTCTAAGGCTGGGTGGGAAGAGAGAAGGACACGTGAGGACAAGCTCTGCCCACCCTTCAACCCACCCAGTCGGAGGAGGACCCGTAGGCCAATTCACGCACACGACTGCTCAGGGTGGGTGCGCACGCATACGTGTGGGCATCAGTGGCTATTTAAACAGAAAAGAGGTCATTTCAGACTCGCAGGGAGATAAACCCTGCGACAGATCACAGCCCCTCCCCTCTCCCGCCAGGATTAGAACAGTGCCAGTCTTTTCAAACAGAGATGGAGCGGTGAGGGTGTGCAAAGCATGTACACACACACACCTGATTGTTGCTCACCTGTATAGGATTCCAGGTGAGTGGTTATTTCAAACACATCACAGAGCGACCACAGTGTTTACTGCACTTTTGCATCGGGCTGGTGCATAACTTAGCCACTCCTACAACTTTTTTTTTTGCACACCTCAGAAATAACCAAGCAGAATGGAACCATGTAGATGGGGTTTTATTTTCATACAAAGAAAAGACTAACTACTACTTTAACCATTCTGTTGTACTTGGGTGTCTATTGGTTTGATTTATGAATCAATTCCTTCCCCCCACCCAAGGGTAGGCCCGAGGCAGGGAGAATTTAGCTCACAGCTGGGCCTGCAAATATGAAACCAAGGGAAGAGAGTTCTAGTAAAGAAGAACAATGTGGTGTGACAGACAGAGCATGGGAAAAGTTACATTTTTGAAACACGGTAGGACCACAGTATCTGCTGGGGATTGGTTCCTTTTAAATTGCACACCCACACTTGCCCAGAGGCTCCACTGGGGTTGGGCACAGGCAGCTGGCTTGTTTACTTCCCATTTCAAATGAAGCTCTGTCCACCCTTGCACCCATGGACTGAGGCTCCTGCGAAGCAGGACAGACACTTAAAGAGGGAACATTGGTTCCAAGCCCTCCCCCTACACATGCCAGAAATCACGAATATAACCAACCCTAAATATCACTGTACATAGTGTTTGGTTCCCTCTAATGGCCAGTTCTGGTAATACGCCTCAGAAAAACATATTTTTTGGGGTTTTTTATTTTATATTTTCAGGCAGCAGATTGAATGAAACTTCAGTGCCGATTCTGTGGTCCTACCGTACAGCTCCAAGAATCGGACAGCACAGATGCTGGCTATGGATTCTGGAAGTTACAGCCCCAAAATGTAACTTTTCCAAGCTCTGACTGGTGGACAGTGTGTTACGACTTGACTCTGCGAATGTGCCTCCTTTATCCACAAACCAGTCTGAACTATGTTAGGTTATCTGTGAAAAATAAGATCCGCCATGTATGCCTTTGTTCATTACTTGAAGGAAAAGTCATACCAAGAACCCCAAACAGATTATAAATGGAGGACAACAACAACAACAACAACAACAACAACAACAACAACAACAACAACAACAACAACAACAACAACAACAACAACCCTTTGCACTGCAGAGCTGGAAGGGATCCTATGAATCATCGAGTCCAGCCCCTTATCAAGGAGGCCCAGTGGGCGAATTGAACTCCCAACCTCTGACCCTGCATCCAGAGACCTGAGTCACTGAGCTATCCAGGATAGTGCACAGCTTTGTACATCTGCAATTTAGGACAGGACAAAACTCTCCCAAGGGCCCAAGTATTCCAGGGTACCCCACAGAAAAGCGGTAACACCTGGGGATGTTCAGAGAATCCTCCAACAGTGACGGACAGATTTTATGAAGGAAGGTGGACAATGACTAGAAAACTGCAAGACTTGAAACAACTGGCACACTTTCCGTGGTATCAGTAGCTTGACAAGAAGCAGCTGACACCCTGTAAGTGGGTAGTGTCAGAATCTGGCCTAGAAGGATTTTTGCCTCTTCAGAAACAGAAGCAGGTGGAGATGATACTGATCCCTTGCCACACCTTTTCTTGATGGTCAGGCAGAATATCAACCCACTAGATTTATGTATCCTTTTAGTTTCACTAATTTGGAGGAAGGAAAACATTATTTGCAGACAAACTGAACCAGTGGCTTCCTGGCTAGCAGTCCAGCCACTGAGCCATTGTGTCACACCACTTCAACTTAAAAGATCTCCTGTAGATAAACAAGACACTTGATAACTTAGTTGTCATCCAGCTGTTAAAACAGCCACCATGCAGCTTCTTGTATCACATGGTGCCGGGGGTGGGGGCATTATGATCAACTTTTTTACAAGACTGTATTTCTTTAAGCTGTCTCCCTTCCAGATTTTCAGTGAGCAATGCACAAAGCTCAGATAATGCAGAAGTGACAAAATGCCTGGCTATCTATCCTCAAGCTGTGATCTGTCTACCTTGGGGTCTCCTAAAACCAGTATGCACAAAAGCCACCTGCCTTGGTGTCTGTCAGCCTCCCAGCCGCTTCCTGCTTTGTTTTTGTTTTAAATTAAAAATCTTAAATGGAAGGCTGGCACACAGTGGTTCTCCACCAACATCTGTTTCCAAAAAAACCTCTCCATGCCTGCCTTGGGCCTAGTTCGCATTTTGTGAAATGAAGCTTTTGACAAGATGATTCATTCCACCACTTCATTCTGAAGCAAGTCCTGTCATCCAGAAGAAGAACCAAAGCAAGATGGAGGTGACACATGATGTCTAGAGAGACCTGGAGGAGGTGGTGTGGATTAAAGGAAGTGTTTTGTATGTAAATGTGTGTACTGTATATGTATGCATGCATGTTTTTCTTGTTCTACTGTTAGCTTTCTCCTTCATTTCAGTGCAATCTTAGAACTCTGCATGTGTGTGTGTATAGGGTGCTTCTATTTGGAAGGTGGTTGTTTTCTTTGAGTGGTCTATGCTTGGTGTAAGTGTGTGCTTTGTGTGGGTACAGTTGTTGTTTGGTTATGAGTGGGCGTTCTGCCTATGTACAAATGTGTGTTTCCCTTAGTATCACAAATATTTTTTGTGATTTTTTTTATAATGGGCGATACCCAGACCTTGATGTTGGGAAAGTGTGAAGGCAAGAGGAGAAGGGGACGACAGAGGATGAGATGGTTGGACAGTGTCACCGAAGCAACCGACATGAATTTGACCCAACTCCAGGAGGCAGTGGAAGGCAGGAGGGCCTGGCGTGCTCCGGTCCATGGGGTCACGAAGAGTCGGACATGACTAAACGACGACGACCCATCATGGCAGCCACTTCGTGAATGGGAAAGACCCCCACATGGCAGCCATTTTGTGAATGCACCTATGGCACTCTCTGAAAATTTTAAATGTTTCCACAAAATCCCATTATCTGGGTATCTCTGACCTATTCATCTCCTACAATTCACTTGTGGGGACAGTGGTATTTGAGAGACTGAGAGATCTCTCATTGACAGAAACCACTGTCAAATTTAGCAATTTTAGTGCCTCCTCAGAGCATTAGCCAAGTGCTAGGTGGTGGTGAAGAGGCACAAAATGTAGCACCTGCTACGACAGCTATAAAAAGGACGTGCTAGAGGAAGAGGCATACTTCCCTTACCCAGGCATGCAGGAACAGCTGCTCCATCTCCCTGCTCAACTCTCCTGCACCAACCTGACCCCTGGGGTCCCAAAAATAATGCAATTGCCATGCCTTGACCACTGCTGTAATCTAGAGTGTTGGCTACCAAGCCATTTGATCTGGCAGGGCCGGAGTATGAAAACCTGAGTCCCGTCCTTGCAACGGTGACCACTCTATGTTGTTCTCTATGTTGTTACACAAGCCCGGTCAAGACTGAGAGTCCCAAAAATAATGCAATTGCCATACCTTGACCACTGCTGTCATCTAGAGTGTTGGCTACCAGGCCATTTGATCTGGCAGGGCCGGGGTATGAAAACCTGAGTCCCATCCTTGCAATGGTGACCACACTGAAGTTGTTACACAAGCCCGGTCAAGACTGAGAAGGTCACAAGACCAGTTGCCATCCAGGACTTCTTAGCTCCTGGATTCCCTTGGAGCTGATGTCAATGTCACTTATTTTGCCAGCTCTGGAAATGGGATCCAGGGAAGCTAGATCAAACTAGTTGATACTGTAATTTAAAGCAGCAGTCCCTAGGATGAGTGGGGTTATTTTTAAAAAAAATCACATACACAACACAAGAGAGTATATTATTGCATCATGGTTCAATATCCACCTGTCTGCCCAATCCCCTAAGGTGGGCACCCCATGATGGCAGCAATCAGAACTGGTAGCAACAGTTCTTCTGCCAATTAACAAAATATTTCAAAGTCTGTTGTATGGTGTGGTTTCCTAGTCGCATGAATTTAGGATACCCTAAAAAGGGATGCTGAGTGTCAGCCCCCATTGAGGTCCCTCCTCCCCGCATTCAGTATTTGGGACTCTCAATGCCACCTAGCAAGAGGTGGCAAGCCTTTCCCTTGGCATCACCAGACTCTGAAACAATTATGCCTACCACAAACAGGCACGGATGTCTACCTGCCTTGGATCTCTTGTCTACATTCAGTGCTTGCGCTATAATTATTCCCAATACTGTACGGATAAGCTCTACAAACACGCAAAGAGATCCCAAGATTCACCAGGACTCCTGATCCCTCAACATATGCAGACTTCACAGTAGGGTTGGATGGCTTTGTCCAGTCCAAACTGGCAGAAGTTTTTCACAGAACAAAACAAAGAGGCGGAAAAAAAGAAAAGACATGCTGGAGGTCTCTTCCCCGGTGTAAAAAAAATTGGTATTTGTGGGTGTTAAACAGCGCAACCTTCTAAAATGGTAAACTACAGTTCCTGGAGGCTTCCAGGAGCACCAATACATGGTTTTTTTAAAAATTATTTTTAATTCAATTTTATTTTTTGCTGGGGGAAGGGGCCACGAATTACAAAGCCAGCCACTGGAGGAGCTACATCCAGGCCGCAGGCCACACTTCACCTTTACTACCTTGCCTTTGAAGAGCTTGCAATCTGACCACCAGTGGGAAACGAAAAGGGAGAGGAAACCCAGGAAAGAGTGAAGTCAACCAGCATCTAGCGCAGAGATACGGAAATGGCAATCTTCCTCTTGCTGATGAACAGTGACTCCCAGCAGACCACACCACTGGCTATGCTGGCAGGGGCCAGAATCCAAAAACAGTTCAGAGGACCCTGTTGCTCTAGATGTTGCAGAGGTACGACAACACTCATGATTTCTGACCGAGAGCCATGTTGTCTGTACCCAAAGGAGGGGAAGCCCAGCGGGAATCAGAGCACCACCGTACCCTATGCCTGGTCTGGCCCATGCCATAAAAAAGATGAAGCACTTCCCCTTCTGTGTTCTGGCACACCATCCATTTGCTTAGGCACAAGAGTTTTCTCCACCAATCGTATTCCCTGGCTCAAGATCATCCTCTCCCACTCCCCTCACAGCAGAGGCGCCTCTGGGATCCACATGAAGCAGAAAAGTTACACCCACATGTGCTTTCTTTCAGCAAACAAAACGGGGTAAAGGAGATTTTCCATGCTGTTTTCAATAAAGTCTGAGTTGTGCAGAATAATATTGTTTCAAGTGTTAAACCGAAGAGCATCCCCAGCATTCCAAGTCTGCACTTCCCATGTGCGTACTCTGAAAAAAATCAAGAGCAACCCCCACACACACACACTTAGTTGAGAGAGAACAGATCAAGAAACAGGCTCATCATCCCAGCCTCTTCAATAATCAGGATGATTAATTTCTGAAGCCAGGGCAGCCTTTGAACAACGGGAAGCTCCAACCTCATGACCAGAGAGACAAACCAAAGTGTTTACAAACAGAAGCTTCAACGCCAGTCCATTTATTCCCCAACGCCCCATGCCAAGTGAATTATTTTAGGCAAAGGGTAGTGGGTGGAGGGGGGGGGCTTTGGAGATAGTACACGAGGAAAGCACATGGATGCACCACTCTGAGGGATATAAATAGATCCTGCATCATCCTTTTGCCAGCTACCAGCCCTGAGGAGCCAGCTGTGGATAATTTGAGGAAGCCGGGCACAACTTGACCTGCTCTATTTACTGTCTCTCTCTCTCTCTCTCTCTCTCAATCTCTCTCAATCTCTGTTGGAAAGCGGCACCCAATGTACAATCAGAGAACCCCTAATTAATCGCCTCCCTTTCTCTCCCGGATTCTCACCTCTCTTTGTAGAGGTCAATTCCTCCTTCAGCTTTTTCACTTCAGCCTGCAGGGCTTTGTTCTCCTCTTCAGCCCCAGCGCCTTTGGTGTCCAGATCCGCAACCTCCACTCCGGCCAGCTTCAGCTCCTGTTACATTGGGGAAAGAGGGGAGACAAGACACACAGGAAGTGAGCAAACCAAAAGAAGAGGCGGCGGCAGCAGCTGTAAGGCCCTCCAAAGCCAGAAGCATCTCTCTCTCTCTCTTCATTCAGAGGGACGGTTAGGACCTTCAAGCCTCCAAAGACAGCAGCATCTCAGCTCCAGGCCAATGTCTGCCCCAGCAGGCACCCTCCCTCCATCCCTGCATGAAGGAAGGGATGTCAGACGTTGTAGACCTCAGGGCATTGTACAGCCCGTCTTGGATGAGCCCGCTAGTCCTGACTCCAGCTGGCAAGACTCGAAGCACTAGGGCAGAGGTGGGGACCGTGCATTCCACACGTGAGGCAATAACCTACGGTTTTGAACCCCAACCTACCAGTGCCCTTGGGGGAAAAGTGTCATCGTTTCCCCCCTCCAATAAATTTCTTGGGCCCTGGGTTTCTAAAACTTGCCACTTCCTGTGCTAAAGTTTTGAAAGTGTTTCAGAGACCATCGCTCAGGAGTCCTTCCCAATGCCCTGTAGAGGAAGAGGTCAAACATGATCCTCGGGGTTTTATTCCCCTCAGCATGCTTGCCCTGGCAAATATGCCACCACCCCTGGGATGAGGACACCAAGCCCAGAGTTTTCCTTCTATCTTTGGGGCTGCTAAAGGGGGGCAGGAGTCATGCTGAAGCTACACCAGGCTTCGAAGAAAACAGCACCTCAACTACAGATACTGTGTCTGTGCAAGGACGCGTGCACACACACACAGATAAGCTGGAGCAGGGAACTAACCCCTTGGAAGTCAAAACCAAGGTCAAGGATTAGACCACTGGCCCTAGTCATTCTTTGCCAAATATTCTGGATCTCCGTTCTCATGATCCTTTACCATCGGCCATGTTAGCTAAGACATTAAGCGAGGCACCACTGTACTGTGTCTGTGCAAGGACGCGTGCACACACACACAGATAAGCTGGAGCAGGGAACTAACCCCTTGGAAGTCAAAACCAAGGTCAAGGATTAGACCACTGGCCCTAGTCATTCTTTGCCAAATATTCTGGATCTCCGTTCTCATGATCCTTTACCATCGGCCATGTTAGCTAAGGCTGATGGGACCTGTAGTCCAAACTACCCGAGGAGCCTCAAATTTTGGTGCTTCCACAAAACCCTACATTTTGAGGATTGTGTTTGTTGCCAGGCAACCAAAGCTAATCGAAGTGGGCAGGTATCAATGCCCTTTGGAGAGCATGACTGGAGAGAGAGGGGCTTGCCCAGCAAAAGCCAGCCAGGGACCCGACAGATGGAAAGAGATCTGAACCGGGGACCTTCCTGCCCAAGAACTCAGAATAAAGTTAAGTTTCATGCATCAGAAATGCTTCTCTGTTCTGAAAAGTCTTCGTCACACCTCTCACAGGTTGAGAAAAATACGGCTTTTCAGATGCTGGACTGTAACTCCCATCTGCCTTAGCTGGTGTAGCTAATGGCGAGGAATGCTAAAAGCCATGGCTCCACCACTTCTCAGCCCACCCTGAGCTACGGCACTGTATACAATACGCAGAAATGTAAGCCTTCAAGGTTCTGCCTTGTGGTACATTGGTCAAAACTGCACTCTGTTCAAGTTTGATCCTTATGGCCTCAGGTATGAGCTGGTTCAAGCTTGACTCAGTCTTCCATCTTTCTGAGGTTGATAAACTGAATACCCAGCTTGCTGGGAGGTGGGGGCATGTGTAGTCTGTATATTTAAAACTGTAAAACCATCCAGAGAGTGCTTTAGGGCATTATATATGCAGCACACTTTGCTTTTGCTTTGCTGCTCCATGGCTTCTTACTGAGAAAACCCGATTCCACACCAAGCTACATTACTCTATCACCCACGAAGACCTCTCTACCTGTAACCGAGAGGCGTGTTCTCCCAACTTTAGTGGTGCTGCCAAATGTGCACTTAATTTATGAAACGGGATATTACTTCCAGATAACAAGATAACCCTGGGACAGAAGAGGAGGAGGTTTGTTATGTGAAGTAAAGAAAGTTCACTATGGGCAGAAAGGAGAAACACATCATGCAGCAAAGAGGGAAGGGCAGGACAGACTTTGTACCACGCTTGCATCCAGAAAGCAGGAAAGAGTTTGCTGATCATCGTTCATCTTATATGAGCAGCAGCCAAGACCACGGATGTGACAGGTACAAGAAAGACAGGCTAACATTAGTGATGCTATGTATAGAAATATGCTGCACAAGGTCTTCAAAGGAGAGGAACGCACATGCCTGTGACACATTGTGCCAGTGACGGCAGCTTATATCCTTTTTCGCCTCCTGTTCCAGCAGCCTTTTATTTCTCCTCCTTTGTGATTCAAAAGTAAGCTGTAAACAGTTACATGACTGTATATTTCACCCAACAGCTATACTGCCTCCACACGCGTTGTTTAAAAAAAAATATTTTTCCACAGATGTTGCAATGAGCATTGATTTTAAAAAAAATGCTTTCAAATAGCTATCTTTAAAAAGATCATCAATTATATTCTGCAATTTTATAAGGAGAAGCAGAAGTTAGCTATGTGCGCGTGTTATTTGTGCATTTTTTTGGAACACAGGAAAAGTCCTGTGGGAGCAGATCAAAGGCCTACTTCACTCAGAACCCTGCTTCCCACCATGGTTACGTAGATGTCCAGGGAAAATCCACAAGAAAATGACCAAGGCTACTCTTGTTGCTTTCCCAAGTTACTCCAATTCAGAGAAGCAGACTACCTCAGATACTTGATGTAGCATCTGGCTCTCACAACCAGTGGGCAACAAAAACCTTATCCTCTACAAAGCAGCCTACTCCCCCTTTAAAACTGTCCAATAAAACAGCCATGTGACCCACCGACAGAAGTACAGTTTTGAGGTAAGCAATATTTTTATTAGATTTTATTGCACCACCACCAATAAAAAAACTTTTGAGTTCTACAGAACTCTCCCCTCAGGCAAAGATGGCATGAAATGTGGAGCTCAAGAAGAAAGCACAAAAACCGATATGGTGGCCAAGACTAACATACTCAAGACTACCAGGGAAACAAAAAGGAGCTTTAGGTCATCGCACCTCAGAGGCTTACTAGCCTGATCATCAACACATATCCAGCAATTCATCGCCCAGAAAAGAGACAAAAAGAAACACATGGGCTCTTCTGGTTAAACCTTCCTGCCTAGTTGCTTGGATGAAATGTATTCGCCACACATGAATGGATATAGATAATCCTGTATTATTCAAAGGAATTAGATGCAGAAACTCTAGACGCGCCTAGCACACAAGATGTCTCACCAATCAAGCCAGCCTCAAGAACCTGCAACAGGTTTTCAGAAAGGGTCCACTCTGGCAACCTCTGACTGTTTTCACGCATCCTTTCCAAGACCTTATGCTCTGTCTCAAGAGGGCCGACATTCAGAAGATACGTTGCATGAATGTCTCTAGCAATCTTTTGCTGAAGAAACTCATCATACATTCCCCAGCTCCCCAGTGGTTCAAGAGTAGCAGAGAAGCTTCTCTGTAGAGAGGCAAACATTCTGGAAAGTAGAGAGACTGAGTCCTCAAAGGATCGACCGTGGTGTCCTTCTGGAGAGATTGGCTGGGGGGGGGGGCACCGTTTTACGATGGTTCCACTCCTACCTGGCTGATTGAGTCCAGAAGGTGATGCTGGGGGGGACAGTAGCTCTGATCCATGGCGGTTGTGTCGTGGGGTTCCTCAGGGTGCTACACTGTCCTCCATGCTATTCAATATCTACATGAAACCACTGGGGAAGCTCGTTAGGAGATTTGGGCTGAGGAGTCAGCGATATGCTGACGACACCCAGCTCTACCTCTCATTCTCTACCAATCCAGGTGTGGCAGTCGCCATTTTGAACTCGTGCCTGGACTCAATGATGGACTGGATGAGGGTCAATAAACTGAGGCTCAATCCAGACAAGTTGGAAGTGCTGCTGGTATGTGCTCCGCTGGATAGGCTAAAGGGCCATTTCCCTGCCTTAGATGGGGTTGCACTCCCCCTAAAGGACAGGGTCCACAGCTTAGGGGTGCTCTTTGACCCGGGTCTGACTTTGGAAGCCCTGGTGGACTCGGTATCTAAGGGTGCCTTCTTTCAGCTGCGGAGAATATATCAACTTTGCCCTTACCTGGATGAGCAGAGCTTGGCAACAGTCACACATGCACTAGTAACAACCAGATTGGACTACTGCAATGAGCTATGCATGGGGTAGCCTTTGAAGACAGTCCGGCGACTGCAACTGCACAGAACTGGGCTGCGCGGCTGGTAAGTGGTGCCACCACATACACTCATATCACGCCAGTTCTGAAAAATTTACACTGGCTGCTAGTTGCTGCTTGTGCCCAATTCAAAGTGCTTACTTTGACATATAAAGCCCTAAACGGCTTAGGACCTGGTTATCTAAAAGACCACCTTCTTCCATATGAGCCTGCCCATCCTCTAAGATCAGACCAGGAGGCCCTTCTGAAGGTGCCATCCCTGAAAGAAGTGAAGGTGATGGCATGTCAAAATAGGGCCTTCTCGGCTGTTGCCCCCCAATTTTGGAATGCCCTCCCTATAGAGATCTGCTTGACTCCAACACTTTTGGCTTTTTGGCGCCAAAGACCTTTCTGTTTAGCAAGCATTTTAATTAAATGGTATTCTTTAGCTGGCCATATGAGCAGAAGGATTTATTAATATTAATGTTTTAATGATAGTTTTTAATATAGATATTATTATAATATTGCCTATTTTAATGGTTTTAATGTTTTTAAAGTTTTAATATTGTTGTATGCTGAGCAGAGACCACTGGTAATGGTGCAACTAAAAAAATCTTGTAAATAAAATATAAATATCAAAAGAAGCGTTTCTGGAAAACATTCAAATATGCAACCAAAACTTTTGGTTGAAGGTATGACAATGCTCTTGCACAGTTTGAGGGCAAGACTGATTAACATGCAATTGTGATCAAGTGCAAATGTTAGTGATTTAATTAAGACCAGTTTTGTAT